AATGAATGTACAATTGTGAAATTTCACTTTTATAAAGGATATTAACTTATTGGGGGATTCAACGAAATCTATAGTTACGTGATGATAGTACAATATCTGCGATTAGGAGAGGAAGTAGGATAATGAGGTAGATGCTGTGAGGATGGTGTACTTGTATTAAACTGAGGTCTTATGAGTCGTAAAGATTCTTAAGAGTCTTCTGAATCATTTTCTTTAGAAGCTGATAAAGAATAAAAAAAATTAAAGCTTTTGCACTTTGTATTTCATCTCCCGCTATGGTATAGAAAACTTTTGCATTTGCCTGTACCACAGAAAATAACACGAATGTTTACCTTACTCCTGAACATCCGGTCCATATCTACTGTAGTGGGATAGAGCTCTAGCAAAGTTTCGAGAAGGCACAAATATCTGGATGTCATATTCCTTAACTGTAGGACTGATTTTATATCTAAACTCTTACGATATCCCAACCTACTGTAATGCAGTTTCTTTTGCTGAGTCACCAATTACCATACCCGTGGAACTTCTCTGATGAAAAATTTGTATTAAATTTTTGATTGGCGATTGCAGCTATGTGTGATGTATCTTATGTGTTCGAGGAAGTCTTTGAGTAACTTCTTTGCCATTGTGTACTGCATGTTAAAGAATTAGTAATAAAATATATAAAACTTGTTTCGTTATGATCACGATTCACGAGTCTATTTTATTCACGAGCTGGGAGAGCATCAATTTAATCAAGAATATATTAGTATTTCAAGAGTCAATATACCATTTTCACGTAAAAGACTCAACTTGAAAATAAGAACTTCCAGTTGAAACACAGAAATATTTAATGAAGCGCCTATGTACATTATTTACATTATTCAGAACACAAAATTTACATATAATATAAATTTCCCCATTACAGGGCCAAGATTAGTTTATCAAGAACAATTATTATAATTGTTGATTACCGCTGTGCGGCCAAGAATAGATCATTTCAAGCGTCGCACTCAAGCTAAAACTCTAAGAGTTATTACATTCTTTCTCTGCCGCCAGTCACGTGACCTAGTCGGCGACAGACGATAAATAATAAAAGAAAATTGGTTCCATCGGAAGGGAAAAGAAATAATTTCAACAAAATATCTTAATATGATTTTAAATGATTATATAATATGATTTTAAATGATTATATAGAAAAACAGATTTGGTTTTCAAAAGGGAATGGTTAGGACACATGTCGTTTTGGCATCTAAGCTAATGCAATATTTTGATTTAAAAATATTTTCTGCCTTTGAATTTTAATATTATTCACATTCAAAAAATAAAATAAGGTATTAGTGCTTTATTGATTCAAATAGACAGAAATGAAGTTAATTTTATGAAGTATCTTTGTATGCACTGATTCAGTTTCAATCATTATTATTGTGACCCATGGCGTTATATGTTGAGAATATGATGGAATTAAGGATCAAACGGCATGTATCACTTATTTAGGGAGATGTGTATACTTGTGAGTATGACTGAAAATCTTATTGAAAAAAATTCTTTTGTTATACTATTTTTTAAAGTACTTGTAATAACTCAAAGCACAAGCAGACATCATGTATGGATATTTTAATAAATATCTGAGCTTATTATATACAATATTAAAGTTTATTATATATAAAATTTTCATCAATTTAAAATTTTGTTCAAGTAAAACAAAAATATTCTTATACTGAATTGCATTTTATGTAGTATTTGCAAATATGCGGAATATTCTCACTTGTTAATTTTTTTTTTCTCATCTTAAATAAAGTTTTATTATTGCAAAAAGGTAATTTCGTCATTGAGTCTATATCTTTTAAGAGATTTTTAAAAGAATAAACATTCATAAAATCTCTTATACCTGAAATTTTGACATTGTATTGCAATTTTAGATATAAAATTCAATCATTTAAAATGCAATCGAAATTAAAATTTTATTTTAATAACGCTGAGTTACTGATTTTCCAGTTTAAAGTTTTTACAGTGTTCGGTCTTTAAGAAGTCAGGGATTAAACTAATTTAATACTGTGAATGAGTGTTTTAATCTTCTTCAGGCAATACAAAAGAAATTATGCCAGTTTTCAAAAAGTTATTTGTCTTTCCTTTTCTTTTATCCAGTAACATTCTCATCATTATATTGCTTATTTCTGGGTAGATTTTAAAGAAAGATCTACGCAAAAAATATATTAATATATCCAGGAAAACGAATTCAGTAGTATTTTCCTTTTATTCTAATTGAACTTTCAATCAATATATTAGAAATTATCCTCTGTCTGCGCGAACTTTAAAATTAACTTGTCTGTGAATTTATAAATAGGCTTAAGTTATGAGATTTTACAACATTGGGTGAAATATTATGTCCGTGTCGGTGGAATATGTATTCAACAAAAAATAATGTGTTTAATTTATATTCAAAAACATTTTTTTCAGTGTTCAACCATACGTGACTAAATGCAATTGTATATAACCATACTGACATATTTTATAATCTCACCTCATCATCAAACTGGCATATGCTTTCATCCTCATAAACAAATGACCAAGTTAGTAGTTTCTTCGAAAGAATATATTCTTCCTAGAAATATGATAAAACTATTCTTTCTCGGTGGCCTAGGAAACCCTTTCTCATTCTTCGATTAGCACAAATTTTTGCAGCGAGTTTTTTTGCAGTGTGCAGTCACTTTTACTAATGAAATAACCTTGCTAACACGTGCAATTTTACAGTTTCTCCTTTACAGACATATCAATATCTATGTGATTCTCAAATTCTCATACACATATCAAATTCCGTGTATGTCTTTAGGTATTTGTAATCCTAAAAAAAAGAAACTTCTGGAAGAATTCTGAGAAAAATTGAATTTTTTAGAAAAGTGCCTAAATTTCTGTTAGAAAATTGGTAGTCCCTGTTGTAAAATAGAGAAGACTACGCTATTGCATAAGCAGCGATTTACGTTCTTTACTAGTCACATGCTTTAAGAAAATATAATCTACATTACTTGTTAACAGGCTGCCCTGGTTGATATATAATGGAGGCTGGCTGCTATCCCGAAATCAAGGGTGTGGGTTCATGTCGCGCATAAAGTTTAGTTGTATATTTTGCTGCTTTCTTTTGTAACATTCATCACCCCTTTGGTATACTCTATGCAACATTCTTTGTGAAAGACTTGGTAAATGAACGATATGTTCGACCATTTCCAAAGGGTGCTCAATAGGAGAGCGAAAAAACCTTTCTTAGCCCAGACGAGCGTTAGCCCAGAAGGGCTGTTATTCTCAAAACGGGATTTTGTGTTTAATCATTATAAAAGTCTGAATCCCTTTCCAAATTGTTACCACCAAATATTATCGTGCTTTATCATATTTAAAAATATTAAATAATGAAGAATTTTCATGAATGTATGCATGTTTTCAGCATTGTGAAAAAGCAACGGTATCTAAAGATATCAAATTATGAATAACGTAGTCCTCCACCTAAATATAGACATCTGGAAGCCCGAATTTTGAATTTTGGATTTGTTTTATTGTGTATTTTATATTTTGTAAAACTTTAATGAGTTTTTGATCACCTAACTCAACGATTTCAAAGCGAGCAATGGCAATACTGTACGAAAAAAACACTTTTATATCTAGCGCGTGAGACTGTCTATCATTAAAGATGGGCCATCTTTAAATATCATTAGCCCAAACGCTCTCGAAACTTGTATGTATGTGTAAATGAAAAAATAAACACCCCTTTGGGCGTAATATAAAACCTGAAAGCTTTCAGATTTTTTTAAAACTTTTATTTGATGCATTTTTTTTTATGTTATATGAGTCTGATAATCAGGCTGCGGTTCCACAAAGGGAAAAATGAATTAGCAATTAGTTAGCTCATCATTACGAACTCTGAAACCTAAACGTACTTTTCTTCTGTAAACCTTGGTTTTGTGCGTAGTTATGACCTAAGTTGTCAGGATATAAAAGCAGCGCTGTAAGCATACTGTTTTTTTACATATTTAATTACGAAAATATTAGTTGAAAGACAGTTAAAGGATAGTTCATTAAAATGATTTTGGCTCAATATGCGGGAGGATATATATGCTCAATATGCGGGATTAATATATCTTCATTGAAGAATGCCTTTTCACAGATAAATTCATAACGTTTAGCGTTTGAAATGAATAGTAATTAAGAAACTTCGTTGAATATGAATAATAACGAAGAAGTTTAGCTTTAAATAGAAGACTGTTAGCATAATGACTGTTTGCACAGATAGATATTGGACATCTGAAATGAGTAGTAACGAAGAAATTTAGCTTTGAATGTGGAGGCGTTGAATACGAGTAGTAAAAAGTTATTTTAGCTATGAAAATTAAGGTTGTTACCATTTCGTAGAACCGAGCTTTTAGCATTTGAAATGGATAGTAACACAGAGATTTAGCTTTGAGGATGAAGGATTTAATTATGAATGGTAATGAAGGTATTTTGCTTTGACTATGAAGGCTGCCAACTTCTAGAAACATCGTTTTCTTTTGTTTATGCATTTGGTATTGATCAGCGCGGTCTATATAAAATGTTAATGTTCTAATGACTTAATATTTCAGTAAGAATACATGAAATGCTCTAACTGAATGATTTAATATTTCATTGATAAAGTCAGTTTCTTCTATTTCCCATTAAATGAAATGAGACAACAGTTAGAAAAATCTGAGGTTATTTTTCCTGAATTTTTACATTATTCAAAAGTGTATTCGGCTTACTGAATTAATGCATTACATTATGTTGTGCCCCAAAACTATTACGCATAAATGGTATTGAGGTAAATAGAATAAATGAAATTTTGTGCTAGCTCTGACATTAAATTTATAATTAAATTTCACAATGATGTAAAATAATTATTTTTTAATTACAGTTTTCCTGGTTACGAAATAATTTTTGGTGTTCCATCAAATGCATGCAGAAAAAAATAATGTTGCCTTATTTAGGAAAGAAAAAAAAGTTTAAAGAAACAAGCGTTAAAATATTCAATAATTTTATTTATACAATCATTTGAAAAATGAAATTTACAAATTGAAGGCACTTCTCTCTTTTTCCCAGTTCAATCCCATATTCTTATTTGAAATTCTGAATTTTCCATAAGTATTTTCGTAAGTATCAAATATCTGAAAATATAATATGCATTATAATTTCACATAGCATTTCAAAGAATTCAAGCCCAAAAAATAGCAATTCAAATTTTCTGCTAAAATTCTTTTGTTTAAAAGTTTTCTTAGATCTGATTAAAAATCGTAACACTTTCAATAATATTCCAAACACAAATTAATATCTTTTCTCGCAACCTTCTCACAGCATTATGTTTATTATGAAACTATATATTTATTCTCTTTAACATTCTTGATTATTATAAAATGATACTTTTTTCATAATTTACCATAACTATTCATCAAATTTTAACTGACAAACCCAATAGTTAAACAAAAGTTAAGAAAATTTGAGACAGATACAAACATGGAAATTTTGTTATGAATGTAAGTTCCTTGGTAATCACTATTTGGTCTTCATATTTCATATATAAATCTCATGGTAATATAAATAAAATATTATTTGTAGAAATACAGAAGAATGCATTGCACATATATTCATGTGATGGATATTAATAAAATGTTTATTCTGTGTAATTATTTTTAGAGTAAAACGTTTTATCATGCCATGATTTTCATCATACTTATGATTGGGTGTATTACATATAGTTAAACTATTGAAAATGTGAGATTGAAACTAATATATAGTACAAGGCAATATAAAGCAGATAAAAATTTCAATATTATTATTGTCATTCATTTACAGCAGCCTCTTTCTTTGGACAGTAACCGACTTTAAAAACCCGCAGTTTCCCGTCTACTGTCTGCCGAGAAAAGAAAAACTACCTACCTGTTGAAGTTTCGAGAAGAGGTTTAGGAATCACTTTGCCTCTTTTCTTATAATAATTAGTAATTAGTGTCTCTACATCCAAAGTTGTGGAAATATGTTGAAATAAGACAATATTACTGGGCAGAATCGTGAGATAGCTGAATCATATTTTTAAAGGATAATTACAAGATGAAAAAACGTTCATACATTATTTTCCATGTAATTTTGCCATTCCAAGAATTTTTTCATGTTGAATCAGTAATGCTGAAAAGGTCGCATTTGAAAATAAAAGCCATTTTATGTATGTAAATGTCTGGTACAGTTAGAATATTGATGACTAACTTGACGAAGTTATTATCCTGTCCAATGCCTAAGAGGCCAATTTGAGTTTAACGTGGATTACTGTACCTATGTTATTGGCGAAGTGATATATGGCATGTACTAATCCACCTGCAAAAGCTTCTGTGCTTAGTTTGCTATGCAGATTACTTAATTTCTGTTTTAACTTTTAAAAGAGTAAAGTTTTGTAAACTGAAAGAATGAAGATTTCCACGAATTTTATTTCCGCTAAAATCTTTACATCTTTCGGCCACTGTGGCTTGATACATTGCCATGGTAAAGCAATAAATTTTATGAGTTCCGTTCCTCAGAGGAAATATACAGTTTTAATGTATGACAGAAATTGATTCATTACTGTTTCTTATAGAAAAATGCATGAGAATTTGGTTTACTTCATCACAGCATTCATCAACTAGAATAAATTAAATCAGCCCATGGCTTCAGTAGTTTGGTGTAACGGTATATGCGTAATTTATCATGGGAAAATAGTTTAACTAAATTATCTATCTTTAGATACATAATTTGTTACATACTTTCAGCGCAATATCTGTCTTTTCTTCAGATGGCATTCTAAAAACAATCAGAATAGGTAACAAAAGTAAATAAATAATTTCTATATCAACAGTCAGGATTTACAGATTTAGTTTCTTAACAGTAAAAGTGTCTTAGAAGAAACGGATTTAAGGATTAATTCTAACATTTTATGCGACAAATATTCAAAAATGATTTTCTATAAGTTTCGATCATTAAGAGGATTTTGAGATTCATGCTGACATACGTTAAATACGTCTCCCAACTTTCTTGTCTCTCAGTATTTTCTCAGAAAAGGCTTTGAGAGGAATCATATCCGTGCTTTCCCATCAGAATTTATAGAGAGCCAGAAACCCACTCACTACTAGCAGATAACACAATTACCAAGTCAGTTTTCAAGCTTATGAACACCACGAAAAAGAAAAGCAAGCCAAGATATTAAGTGTTACTTTATATGCAAAAACACGTGAAAGGATAGAAAACATATATAGAGTTTGAAGCTTGTAAGGTGTTTGAAGGGTAACATTTGTTTTCATTCCACGTACGCCTTCTTTTTTAGGAAATAGTATGCTCCCCATTTGTTGGCCCTAGTCTAGAATAAAAATCGTAAATAATAGCTAACGTATGTAGGAGAAGAAGATTTCATGTCACGTAATTCTGAGTTTTCATTCCAATCTGAAAGGTTTGATATTGAATTTACAAGTTAATAATACTACTTACAAGTATAACATATGGCATAAACGCCATGCTGATATTTTACGTCACAGATCCTACATCCTTCAGACACAGTTTTTCTCGCCTTCTCCAATATATCACACTTGGTATAAAATGAACAATACTGACCCGCATATGATACCTAGAAATATGAAAAAACATTATCTGCTTTAATAGACCTGAGTTAAAGCAAATAATTATATTTAAAAGAATTAACTTAGTATAAAATGAACAATACTGCCCAGCATATGATACCTAGAAATATGAAATATGAAAAAAAATATGTACTTCAATAGACCTGAGTTAAAGCATATAATTATATTTAAAAGAATTAGTATAAAATGAACAATACTGCCCAGCATATGATACCTAGAAATATGAAAAAAATTGTCTACTTTAATATACCTGAGTAAAAGCAAATAATTATATTTAAAAGAATTAACTTAGTATAAAATGAACAATACTGCCCAGCATATGATACCTAGAAATATGAAAAAAAATATGTACTTCAATAGACCTGAGTTAAAGCATATAATTATATTTAAAAGAATTAACTTAGTATAAAATGAACAATACTGCCCAGCATATGATACTTAGAAATATGAAAAAAATTGTCTACTTTAATATACCTGAGTAAAAGCAAATAATTATATTTAAAAGAATTAACTTAGTATAAAATGAACAATACTGCCTAGCATATGATACCTAGAAATATGAAAAAAAATATGTACTTCAATAGACCTGAGTTAAAGCATATAATTATATTTAAAAGAATTAACTTAGTATAAAATGAACAATACTGACCAGCATATGATACCTAGAAATATGAAAATTTATATATTTGTAACAGACCTGAGTTAAAGCAAATAATTATATTTAAAAGAATTAACTTAGTATAAACTGAACAATACTGACTAGCCTATGATACCTAGAAATATGAAAAAAATATCTACTTTAATAGACCTGAGTTAGAGCAAATAATTATATTTAAAAGAAATAACTTAGTATAAAATGAACAATACTGCCCAGCATATGATACCTAGAAATATGAAAAAATATTATGTACTTTAATAGACCTGAGTTAAAGCAAATAAATATATTTAAAAGAATTAACTTAGTATAAAATGAACAATACTGACCAGCATATGATACCTAGAAATATGAAAAAATATCTATTTGTAATAGACGTGAATTAAAGCAAATAATTATATTTAAAAGAATTCTTTATAAAGAATGCATACGTCAGTAATTATACAAACCTGTAATTTATTGCACAAATGTACCTGTTTGTCTTAAGGAAGAAAAATAAATACTATAGTTTATTGAAGTTTTCCTAATATATGTTTATTTACTTATAGAGTCCCTCACTTTTATTCCATTAAACTTAGTGTTGATGAGCCTGGTGAACGGCTAAGCGAATAATCACTTAAGTCCAGAACTGAAACTTAAACTGAAGATGGGTTAATTACCCTTTATTCACCCCAAATAAAGATTCACAATCGGCCCCTTTCTCAGGGCGTACAGAAGAGCCTCCACTTGGGTTTAAACTCAAAATGTAAGCAATAAGAACAAACTGATGACTAACTAAAGAGATTTAGCCGAAGCTAATACAATTCTAAACTAGTTTCCAGTAATGTTAAGTTAGCCAGAGAACTATCAAAGAGCACGCAATACGGTCGAGCGTGGTAACAGCTTACAGAGACGTAGTTCAAAGGCTAACGCGCCCTATTCAGGAATCCTAGCTGTCTCTGGCGAAGTCAGTTGAACTTAAATACTATTCTACTTCTCATTCGCATTTCACGAGATTGTAAAATACATTCGGGTAAGGAGTTGTAAGGTGAAGCTTGGATAGGAAAGATGCAATAACTTTAAATAACTGTTATAAAATTTAAATATAACTTACATACTAATAAAAGATTATTTACTTAAGAAAGATGTTCAAAAATGTGCCAGAAGATGTATTTCCATAATTATTGATTAGTAAATTCTACAGTGTTTCAAAAAATGAGGTGGTTAACTTTATGAAAAACATTTTTAAAAATGCGAATTACTGTATGTTTGGGATGAATACTGCCACATATAAGAAAAATTTAAACCAGAGAAATATTCTTTAGGTTTTAATGAGTTAAATTAAAACATTTAATATTTTTACATGAAAAATTCGCAAAGGCATGAGTAATTAACATTTTTATGGGCCAATTAAATATTTAATAATAAGTGAGATTTTTTTATACTCAATTATTAATTCCAAAAGCGAGAGACTTCTGTATTTTAGTTGTTTCTTAAAACTAATCGGAAAAAGCGAAGCTTAATCGGTAATAGGCGTTAAATGGTGATTTGAGTCTACAAATTCATTTACTAATATTTTTTCAAACTTTGCACATAACTGCAAGAACAGTTTTGCATGTAATTTGACAGATCATAATTATTTGTATAATTGGAAATTTTGCTTTGCAGGAATTGGGCAAAAGTTGTATTTTTATATTTGCCGGTTATTCCAAGGTGTTGGTATTATTTTATTGAAATTCTGTATTTTATTTTAAGAATTCTGAAACTGAAAATGTTTATTTAGAATAATTATTTAAAGAAATAAAATCTGTAAAAATTTGCTTCCATCATCCTGTGTATAACTATGCTTTATATAAATATTCATACAGAATGTTTGAAATATTTATTGAGAAATATTGTATATTGAAGAGGAAACCTTCAGCATCAAAAACGAGCGGCTGGAGGTTTGTAGTTTTTTTTTAAATGTTTCTTGTAATTCTTGAATTATTTTGGCAGCAAGAACGGAAAAATGACTTTGAATCAATAGATTTCCATCCCAATACTTCCATCAATTTTGCAAGTCCGGAAACTAAAGATATAGAAGTTTTAGTTTTTTATCAATTTAAATTACACCGAATACATTATCGAGTGAAATTTTATTTTGGCAAAGTAGTCTGAACGTTTATTTGATTTTATAGAATTATCACCATCCACAACGAATAAACGGCTTAAAAAAATTCAATACCTTATTTCAAGAAAACAGCTAACTAGAAGTATATACCTTGGTGAAAATACAGAGCATAGCTCAACTTACATGTACACACTTGTGTGTGAATGTATGAATATGTGTGCAAAGTAAAATTTTGATTTGATATTAATTTTCGATAGGTTTTTATATCTTGCTCTTAATTTTATGTCCTCGGTCTTTCATTCCCGAAACAGAGCATGTTTAGAATTTATTGACGAGCATCATACATTGATTAACTGGTTAATAAAAGACATATGCTCATCAGTTCTTTATTAATGGGTTAATCATGAACATAACGCATCAGACCTTGATTAATTGACAAGTTAGATTACTGATATCATCATTCTATGATTAATCACAACTCTGCAGGAAAATCTTAAGCAACCCATTTAATTTCGCCTTTTTGATCGAGCAAATCATTTAGTGTCTTGGTTTCAGGCAAAATCTCGGCTGTACACTTACAACATACTATATTGTAAGCTATAAAATAGGCATGCTCCTTGTTACGCACTTCAGCAGTATATAAATTATTATCGTTAACTAAATAACGTAGCTTTAAAAAATAAATTTAAATTCTATATAACTAAAGACTGAAATTTATACTTTCTACAACTCCGCAATCATGTACGCAAAATAATAGAAACTAAGTCCATTATACCCAGGCCTAGGAATGGACGATTTTAAGAAATCCCCCAAATCATTCTGCAGTTTCTCATAATTTTACATTCCTTTCATGAAAATAAGGAATGTAAGCGTTAGGGGGTCTTTTAAAGAAAGGTGGACCTAGGAATCTATACTATTATATTTTGAAAATGGATAGAACCAGACTCGAAAACATTACTCATGTGAAGAAAAAAATAAATTAGAATAAATGTTTGATTACAATTTTACTTACTTTATTGACTGCTAAACGTTAATTGTCGAAATCTGGGTTCTCTGAAGCTAAGTATCTAAACAACTACATGTTACTGTTTTTTGTAAAGCAATATACGTATTAATATACGTATATTGCTCAATATTTATCTTCCATTTTATTAATTAATTACTGGGTAACATTTATTTACATTTAAAATACTTCGATGTTAAACGGAAATACACGAAATATTTAAGGATATTAAAATAATATTTAAATTTCTTACAATTTTCCTCTATTTTAATTTCCAGATCTTTGCTTCTCAAGAATTTTAATTTAACTGAATTCTCAGCAGAGCCTAAACATTTATACGGAGTTGCGTTTCCAAATATCAAAGAACATGAAAATATTAAAAGAAATTTCTGCAGCAATATAGTTTAAAATGCTGTGCGTTAAAATGTGTTAAATTTAATTAAAGCAGCTCTTAATTAAAAAAACTATTCATTCTTCATAAAACTTGCAGCATTCAGCACATTCATAAATGACTAATATAATATATTAAAGTGTTACTGAGCTACTCGTAGTTGTTATCATTAGCATATTTCTTGTAGGATAGGAACAACTCCATTGCCTAGCACTAGCTAACGCTTACTGAGCAAAGGTAAAACACCGACAGACAAATGCAAGGATTTAATCACATCACGCAGCATATGCTAATTGTATTAATTTAATGCACATACGCGTGGATTATTAAAATTTGTGGTTATTAATATATTAATTTACTTAGTTTTCAACCTGTATGTTGCAAATGTAGTCTTTTTGTTAATTTATAACGCAACTTTCACGCAGCATGCCCATAATCTCGCTGTATATGAAAAGCATTCTTCTAAATAAATGAGGTACAAAAATTTTATTTCCAACAAAATATTTGCATCTAAGGCTCGCTATTCAGGCAAAGATTCGTCAGTTACATTAAGCCATAAGAAAGTTAATTTTATAAATGACTGCTTTAAAGCATAACTGTTGTAAATTAACCTTGGGCAATTTTCAGGAAACGGAACATTAATTAAAAATATGATAAAAAATAATTCAAATAATAATTCAACTTAAAATTACACTAGTAAAATTGTATTCATCATTAAAAGGGCAAGTAGAACAATAATCCTGAAAGTTTTAAAATGCAAACAATGACGATGTACATTTTTGTAAATATTTGTGCATAGATTGATTTTTGTATCTTTGTTTTCTTATTTATCTGTTTAGTTCTAATTTA